ATATTTTCCTACAATATTAAAGCAGTTGAACAAAAATTGAAAACTTTAAAAGTAGGTGTATTAAAAGTCACATTATTTTCCCCTGAAGACGTCTTAAAACCAAACAATAACTTAGCTTAACTAATAAAGAATGTCTCCCTTGAGCATTATGCTCTCTTCAGTTGGGATCAAACTGACGGTAATAGCCCCTTGAGAGTTTTGACAGGAACCTTGGGGGGCAATGAGCCTATGTTAACGGAGGAGGAACAACTCAGAAAAGGAGGGTGAAAACGGTTGCACAGCTGGAAGAAAGTAATCGATGTCGCTGAAATGTACATGTAGACAGTTGAATTGGTGTACTTTTTACTGTGCATATTCTCAACAACAAAAAATAAATAAATTTTGTCACATTATTTTAAATTTATAAATTTAAAAATAAAAGTTATCTACATAAAAACTTGTTTTATTCAAAACCCAGCATTTATTATAATTTTGCTTCCCTAGCTTTGTTATTGTTGTTCTTAGTTGCCATCCAGTTGACGTCTGCTCATGGCAGCCCCATGTGTGCAGAGCAGGACTGCTCCACAGGGTTTTCCAGGCTGTGACCTTTCAGAGGCAGCTCTCCAGGCCTGTCTTCTGAGGAGCCCGTGTCAGCCTTTCAGCTGGTAGTCGAGTGCTTAACCATCTGCACCACCGGGCTACTCCTAGGAAGCTAATTCAGCAATAATATTTTATAAATATACTTCCCAGATTATCTCACCTTCAGATGTGAGTACTGCCATGTTCTACATTTTCTCATGACACGGTAACGATCTTAAATCATTTTTAAATAACTTCACCTTGCTGAAATGCGTTTTGTAGAAGAACCCCACTATGACGGGTGTTGCCGAAATAAATAAATAATAAATAAATGTTACTTCAAAACGTTTTATAAGTTGTACTAAGAAAAAAGTCCTGAATCATCAAGATGGTGATAATTTAATACCACCTATATTGTCCTGGGAGCCCTGGTGGCTCAGTGGTTAAGAGCTCGGCTGCTAGCCAAAAGGTCGGCAGTTTGAGTCCACCAGCTGCTCCTTGCAAACCCTATGGGGCGGTTCTACTCTGTTCTATAGGGTCGCTATGAGTCCGATTCAACTCAACAGCAACAGTTAGTTATTGCATGCCACTTAAAACCATTCAAGATGAAATATCTACAGGACTTAAACTGTTAGAATATTTAACAGCCAAAAGCCAAGATAGTGGCTGCTTTTGTAAAGCAGATGTATGAACTGAAAATAACTTTCCCTGTTAAAAATTCAAATTATGAAGGTGCTTAGTTTAGTTTTGTATGCCTCCGTTTCAAAGGTGAACTTAAGAATTGGTCGACATTCGACCATTTCAGAAGGCAGCATATGGTCAAGAACAGATGGTACTGAAGGAAGAAGTCCAAGCTGCACTGAAGGCACTGGGGAAAGCATGGCTCCAGGAATTGACGGAACACCCAAGGAGATGTTTCAACAGACGGATGCAGCGCTGGAAGTGCTTGTCTATGCCAAGAAATCTGGAAGACAGCTACCTGGACAACCAACTGGAAGACATCTACATTTATGCCTGTTCCCAAGAAAGGTGATCCAACTGAATGCAGAAATTATCAAACAATATCATTAATATCATACGAAGTAAAATTTTGCTGAAAATCACTCAAAAGCAGCTGCAGCAATATATTGACAGCAAACTGCCAGAAATTCAAGCCAGATTCAGAAGAGGATGTGGAACTAGGGATATCACTGCTGATGTCGGATGGATCCTGGCTGAAAGCAGAGAATACCAGAAAGATGTTTACTTGTGTTTTATTGACTATGCAAAGGCATTCGACTGTGTGGATCATAACAAATTATGGATAACACTGCGAAGAATGAGAATTCCAGAACACTTAATTGTGCTCATGCGGAACCTGTCCATAGATCAAGAGGTGTCATTTGAACAAAACAAGGGGATACTGTGTGGTTTAGAGTCAGGGAAGGTGTGCATCAGGGTTGTATCCTTTCACCATACTTATTCAATCTGTATGCTGAGCAAATAATCCAAGAAGCTGGACTATATGAAGAAGAACCGGGCATCAAGATTGGAGGAAGACTCATTAACAACCTGCGTTATGCAGATGACACAACCTTCCTTGCTGAAAGTGAAGAGGACTTGAAGCACTTACTGATGAGGATCAAAGACTATAGCCTTCAGTATGGATTACAGCAGTCAAGAAGTCAAAAGACACATTGCATTGGGCAAATCTGCTGCAAAACACCTCTTTAAAGTGTTGAAAAGCAAAGATGTCACCTTGAAGACTAAGGTGTGCCTGACCCAAGTCATGGTGTTTTCAATAGCCTCATATGCATTCGAAAGCTGGACAATGAATAAGGAAGACCGAAGAAGAACTGATGCCTTTGTGGTGTTGGTGAAGAATATTGAATGTACCATGGACTGCCAAAAGAATGAACAAATCTGTCTTGCAAGAAGTACAACCAGAATGCTTCCTGAAAGCAAGGATGGTGAGACTCCATCTCACATACTTTGGACGTGTTATCAGGAGGGATCAGTCCCTGGAGAAGGACATCATGGTTGGTAAAGTAGAAGGTCAGTGAAAAGAGGAAGACCCTCAGTCAAATGGATTGGCACAGTGGCTGCAACAGTGGGCTGCAGCATGACTATTGTGAGGATGGTGCAGGACTGGGCAGTGTTTCGTTCTGTTGTAATAGGGTGGTTATGAGTCGGAACCAACTCGAGGACACCTCACAACAACAATTAAGATGTTATTACCATGTAGTGCATTCAAAAGATTTAATAAATGAGCATTTTAATTAAACGTTTCTCAATTTTAATTTATGATACGATGAATGTCGTTACCCCTTTTTATGGATTGAATTGTGTCCCCCAGAAATGTGTATCAATTTGGCTAGGCCATGATTTTCAGTATTGTCCACCATTTTGTCATCTGATGTGATTTTCCTATATGTTGCAAATCCTACCTCTATGATGTTAATGAGGCAGGATTAGAGGCAGTTATGTTAATGACACAGGACTCAATCTACAAGATTAGGTGTCTGAAGTCAATCTCTTTTGAAATATAAGAGAGAAGGAAGCAAAGAGAGGGGGACCTCATTACTGCCAAGTAAAAAGAGCCAGGAGTGCTTGTTGTTTGGACCAGTGGTCCCTGCGCTTAAAAACTCCTAGACCAGGGGAAGATTGATAACAAGGACCTTCCTCCAGAGCCAACAGAGAAAGCCTTCCCCTGGAGCTGGTGCCCTGAATTAGGACTTCTAGCCTCCTAGACTGTTAGAGAATAAATTTCTCTTTGTTAAAGCCATCCACTTGTGGTATTTCTGTTATAGGAGCACTAGATAACTAAGACACCCCTTCTGACCGAAAGCACACACAAACTCTTTAAGGTCCTCAATAAATGTGAAGAGTGCAAGAGCATTTGGAGACAAAACAAAACAAATACTGCTTTAGGAAAAACCAATCCTTTTCCTTAAAAACAGAAGCATGTACACAGTTGTATTCCTCTGTAACTATTTCTCCTCAGTATAGTCTCAACCACGAATAAATATTACAACTTAAGAAAAGTAATTTAGTTATATCTCATACAGAATAGACACAGCGTTTCCAAAGAGCGGCTTTGGTGGATTCAAACTGCCGACCTTTCGGTTGGCAGCCGAGCACTTAACCACTGCGCTACCAGGGGCCCGTGCATAACCCTACTGACTGGTTAATCCTCGCCTGACAGGGGTCTGAGAAGGCACAGCGGGATCCCGAGAGGGGCAGGAGACGGGCTGCAGCGCGCAGGCCGTGGATGGAGAGTCGGAGGCAGAGAGGTTTTTGGGGTTTTGCCCACGGGCCTTACACAGCGTGCAGCTGAGGAGGGACGTGCGCTGGTGTCCGACCGATTCAGAGACCCGTTCGTCGGAGGAGCGTTTCCGCAGTTACGCGTCGTCCTTACCGTCTACATCAGGATTAACCTGCTCCCAAATCCTACCTCCCCACTTCTTTTCTTCCCAAAACCTGCCCTCGGCCGTGGGCGGGCAAGTGGGGCGGAGGAACAGGTACTGGACGTCGGCCGGAACGACCCACCCGCCCGTTTTCGCCAGGACCAAGGGGTTCCGGGATGCGGGACTGTCACTGCCCAACGCGGACCGGTCCCGGGCAAACCCCAGCACAAGCGTGGTTTTGACGCCCGGCCCGCCCGGCGCCCAGACGGCCCCGAAGTCGCGGGCGGTCCCCTGTGACCGCTGAGTAGTCTTCTTACACTCACACCCAGTGGCCAAAGTGCCTCTAGGACGACGGGATCTTCAGAGGCCACGCCTGTCTTCTGAGCTTGCCTGCCGAAGCCCTTTAGGGGCTCCACCGGGACCCCCCCGCCACCCCCGAGTCCGCCCGGCCAGTCTCTCGGCCTCCCGGCTCCGGGCCTCACCTCAGTGTGAGGGCTGTCCAAGGTTCGGCTCTGGCCGTGCGCCTGTCCCCACCCCTCCCCTCCGGGTCACTCCCCGTCCTCTGAGTCTTCACCCCGGCCACTGCCTCCCGGAGTCTCCCCGATCCGCTTTCATGGCAGGAAACCTAAGGACTCTGGGATTTTCTTTCTCCGCCTGAAAAACGGGTGGGTAACGGCTGAGTCACCAGGCTGACTGAAGAGTAAGTGAGGTCATTTGTGTGAAAGCTCGTAGCTCGGGGTACAGCATACAGTAGGTGTTCAATACGCGGTCACAGAGACAATAGTCAAACACGACCCAGAGCGCTCATCCGTGGGCGAGACGCCGGAATATGGCCCCCAGACCTCCCGGCCACCTCAGTTCGAGCAGTGCCCGCCCCCTTCGTTCGTATTTCTGGCGCGCCGGCGGACGTGACGACACATGGGGAGCCCGCGACTGATAGGCTTGCTTGTCCACACCTGCCCGAGGCCTCTAGTCGGAAGCGGAAGGTGCTGCCGCTTGGCGAGGCTTGGACTGGGGTCAGGCGAGCCAATATCCCGGCCCCGGCGGTTCGGCACGATGCGGCTGGGCTCCGGGACCTTTGCCGCCTGCTGCGTAGCGATCGAGGTGCTCGGGGTCGCGATCTTCCTTCGGGGATTCTTCCCGGTTCCTGTTCGTTCTTCTTCAAGGACAGAGCACCGAGCAGAACCCCCAGCGCCAGAACCCTCGACTGGTACGGACCCTTTCCCGGGCCTCACTTCCCCCGGAGGACGGTTTTTCCTGGGGCTCCCAATCACTCCCTCGGAGTGGGGTGGGGTCACTCCTTCCAGGAGTCCTTTTCCTTGGCCTGCTGTTCTATTCTGGTCCTCACGCCCGGGAACCCTCTTCTTGCCGCTCCAGCCTCTTTGGATACAGATATGCTTCCCAAATTTCCACCACTACAGCTTGTGGCAACCATCGCTGCTGCCCCCAGTTTGACCCTCCTCCCCGATCACCACAGGGCTCCCGCCTTTCCCCAGCACTACTCATCCAATGCAACCCCGCCTCCCCCGAATAACCTTTGGGTCACTTCCTGTTTCTGGAGCCCTTTTGGCCCAATAGGACACAGCAGATAAGCTTCCTGTCAACCCCTTTGCAGTTTTACGATATTTCTTCCAGGACCCTTTTCTTTCCAGTGGCTGAGGGCTCCCTTCCTTAGGCCCCTTTTAGCCTTCACCTGCCTAGCAATACATCTTTGGTAAAGGCTCTCCCTTTCCCGGCCAGGTTTGCGTAATACCACCTACTGACCATGTGAACACGGTTTGTAAAGGCTGGCCCACCCTCTGCCTGCAGCGCTGTTTTAGGTCTAGCCCCCTAAATGCCCCATTCCAAGACCTTCACGTAAGGATGCTGTGTCCCAGTACTTCCCATCATGTAAAACCTTCTAATTCATCTCATCCCCACACCTCTTTCTTGCTCGATTCCTTTTTGTCCCTGGATCCTCAAGGAGGGACTACTATTCTCTAGTCTTATCTCTAGCTAAAGATATTTCAGTACCCCTGAGGCTTGGAGAATGAAAGGTACATGCTGGAGAAGTAGCAGGAGCTAGATTCTGAAGATCCTTGATTGTTAAATAAAGTGTAAAATTCAATTTCTGTTTTTTCTTCTTTCAAACACATTTTAGGAGCCAGTTCCAACTGGACTAAGCTCCCACCACCTCTCTTCAGTAAAGTTGTCGTTGTGCTGATAGATGCCTTGAGGGATGATTTTGTGTTTGGGTCAAAAGGTGTGAAATTTATGCCCTACACGACTTATCTTGTGGAAAAAGGAGCATCTCACAGTTTCGTGGCTGAAGCAAAGCCACCTACAGTTACTATGCCTCGAATTAAGGTAAACCATTTGGCTTCATGTTCTATAAATGTTGATTCTTTTGGAGGTTTAGAGGAACTCTGTAGTCTTTCACTTGAAATCCACTTTTAACTAACTGGACATTAGTTCGGTGCTATCGACTTTGCTGGGGCAACAGAATGCTGAAAAAGCCTCAGAAATAGGATGGCACTGAGACCCGTGATTTATGCCCCTTATCAGGTTGCCAGAGCACGTGCTTTATGAGAAGCATGAAGGTTGTGAGATAATATTTAGAGGCAGGTTTCCAGGCCAGCCTGACCCATGAGGTACCATCCTCCTTGGTGATCTGCTGACCTCAGTGGCTCAGTTAGAACCCTAGGTTTAGAGGTTGAAGGACTCTTTAAGGTTATCAAGTCCAATCTCTTGACTTTACAGATGAGGAAACAAACTCAGAAAGGTTAAATGACACGTCTAAAATTGTTTATAATGACCAAACCAGTACTATCTGGCCTCTGCCGTTGTTGCTGCTGCTTTTATATAAGGCTTAGTGACCCTGGACAGCGCATCTCCCAAGTGCTAGCGATACATAGTCCCTTACCTGGGATTTATGGGTAAAGAAAAAAGTAAAGCTTTATTGACGGGTTTAAGAATTATTTATTGAGCAGCAGCTGTGTGCTGATATTGTAGTGGATGTACAGTTGGGGAAGAATAATATCCCTGCCTTCGTGGAGCCATTAAACGGGCGTGCACGTACTGTACAGTTATAAAGTGTAGTTAATGCAGGGGTAGAAAGGAGCAGGATGGATAAGCAGTGATGGGTGGGGGCTCAGTTTAGATGGGGAGCTGAGAGAAGCCTGTCTGCGGAGGTGACATTCAGTTGGGACGGGAAGGAAGAGTAGAGGGGTGGCGGTGGAGAGGGCGGAGGAGTTAGGATGTTGCTGCATGTTAGTGTGGTGCGCCTCTGGCTGAGCCTGACATCCCAGGCCAGTCAGGTGACGTCTTACTGTGTGCTGAGAAGGAGCTGCTGCTTTGCTTGCTGATTCAAGGCTTAGGGGCGACATTTAGTAGGTGCTCAATGAATGTTTGCTGAATGAGTAAAACAGTCTGGGATTGAAGGGATCAGTGCACATTTTCCACTGACTTTTTTCTTGATTTTCCCACTCTCTACTTTTGGATGTGGTATGTCCTTCATACAGCAGTATTTACTGAGCATCTGCTAGGTACCACACTCTGTTCTAGACAAGAGGGACGGAGTGAAGAGCAAGACAGTAACAGTTCTGCCCTCACAGAGCTTACTTTTTAATGGCCAGGGGCGGGGGGGGGGGAGGCATAAAATATGTAAGTATACATGTAAATCACCAAGATAGTTCCAGAGAGTGATGAGTGCTGTGAGTGAAGTCAAGAAGGAGTGTGATGGGGGTTGAGGGGGCCACTTCTGAAATCTGTCCTGTGAAAGCTGGGAGAACACATCTGGGCTCCTGGTCATCAGAACACCCAGCTTCTTTGTTCACTCAGAAGTTAAGGAATCTAGATCAAGTTTTTAAAAAGTGTCTGAACGCGTGTACAGGGCTCCAGGTTTTTACTGATGTTGGTGAGTTAGCTGGTGCTGTTCTTGGAACGTCCAGCCTCCAGCCCATTTGTTTCCTTCAGCTCTATCTGTGGAGCCTCACGCCAGAGCTGTTTTGTTTCACTTTGTTATCAGTTGTTTGCAGATCCTTGCTTCTCATTCCCCATCAGGGAGGAATTGGGACAGGACAGCCCATAAGTGGAGCTAGCTCTGCACAGCTCTGGATTTGGTTGGAGCGGGCGGTGGCAGCTAAGGAGTGTGTCCCCTGCCCTGCCTCCCAGTTGGAGAACGTACTTAATCTTACAGTGTTGGTATCCTGGATAAAACAGCGACTTAAACGCCACAGCGCTGCGGTCCTGAGCAGTGCTTTCAGATGTCAAGATGCAACAGCTGTTTTTTTTTTCCTTTTTTTTAAAATTCTGTAACTAAATTTCTAATGCCTTCTCTCTCTTCAGGGACTTTATAGTCATAACAAAGAGTTCTTATTCACTGATTCTGTGCCAGGCACCGCCGTGAGCGCAAAGCACACACCTTTCCTCACTCACAGCAGCCCCGTGAGCTAGGCACTTCTGTCTTCTTCATTTCTCAGAAGAGGAAAAAAGAGACTTTAAGGGGTAAAACCACACAGCTGGCATCAGAAGCCGAGTGTGACGCCATTGGTTTGACCCCGTGGCCTGTGTTTGCCACGCTGTGCTGTACAACTGTGATGCGAAATAGAGTGACCAGGGCAGACTCCCCTTCAAATGGAGCCTGAGAAGCCCCCCTGGCTCTGAGACGGCCGCAGCAGTCCCGGGCCAACCTCCAAGGAGGTGTCAGGCCTGAGCTGCCCCTTAGAGTTGTCAGGACCCCTGCCTTCAGCCCAAGTGCTGCCCACCTGCTTTCTGGGGTGAGCAGACGCCACACCCTACCTACCCTCCTTAGAAATACCAGGGCAGCCCAGGCTGGTGTGAAGAGGAAGGAGTGCCTTATGAAAGCCATAAAGGAGAGAATGGACAGATCTGACTACTTGAAAACAGCAAATTCCATACGGTGGAAGACATGTATAAAGTCAGCAGACAAGCAGTAACCTGGAAAAAAAATATTTACAGTGGACACAACAAGACCGGAAGTTCATACCATGTAAAGAGGATTGAATCAAGGGCAGATGGAAACGCATATAGGAAACCCAGAAGGAGGTGAGAGATCCACAAAGGAAGGAGTTGAAATGTCCACTAAACAGGAAAAGGTTCTCAGCTTCACTAATTACAAAAGCAGAGCCAACTAGAAGCAATCCATAAGGCCAGTTTTTGTCTGTGACATTGTAAAAATGTGAGGACTATCTACTCTGTGCCAGGAATGGGGCCAACAGGTACTTCTCATAGCAACGCCATGTGACAGAGTAGAACTGCCCCATAGGGTTTCCAAGGCTGTAATCTTCACAGGAGCAGACTGCTGCATCTTTCCCCCATGGAACAACTGGTGGGTTCAAACCACCGACCTTTGGGTTAGCAGCCGAATGCTCAATCACTATGCCACCAGGGCTCCTACTAAGGAGTGACCTTAATTTGCTGAGCTCTAAGCGTTTTTCAGCTCCCATCCTTGCTGGCCTTTCTGCAGTGTTTGTGCTGCTGATCACCCCTCCTCCAGGCACTCTTGGGTCGGCTTCTGTGACACCAAACTTCGCTGGCTTTCTCCCTGCCCCTGCCTGTCGCCTCTCGCACCCTTTGCCAATCAGCCCTCCTCTCTGTAGACTTAAAGGAGTTTGTCTGATACTCTGTAGGCAAGTTTATCCACATAAAGACTTCTGGATTTCCACCTCTGTGGGTCTGTATATCCACCGGCTGCTGAACACTCCCCTGGAGTATCTCGGCAGCTCCCAACCCTAGATGTGCGCCTGCAGTGGTGCTGCTCCCACCAGCCCCAGACACGGGTTCTCGAGGGGTGCCCCTCAGCTGCAGATGGCCTGGAAGTTCTCAAGGGGTACCCCTCAGCTAAGGGTGGACTGGCAGTCCCCTCGGCATTTTCTCATTCCCCAGACACGGGTTCTCGAGGGGTGCTCCTCAGCTAAGGAGTGCCGGCGAGTGCCCCTGACATTTCTTCCTCTTTCGCCAGTGTCCGTGTCCAGTTAGTCCTTCAGTCCAGGTGATTATGCCTCCCTCATGCCCTCACCCCCACCCTCATCCCCACCGCCCCTGCCTCGGGACAGCCTGCTGTAACCTCCCGTCTGGATTGTAAGGTCTGCCGGCAGCTCTTTGTGTCCAGCCCAGTCAAAGCCCAAGTCGGCTTTCTACTCCACCTCTTAAAACCTGGTGGCCTGTACTCTGCTTAGGTTGACACTGACGTCGGCAACACCCCCTCGAGGCTCTGTGTTCCGCCTGTTTGCCTCATCTGACTGTCTTTCAGCCCACGTCACACACGTTCAGTTCCTCGAGCACCTGCCCTTCCCTGCCGGGGCCTTTGCAGGCCACCCCGTTCCCTGGAGCTCACCCAACCCTACCCAGAGAGCACTTTTTCCCTCAGCTCTCAGCTGAGGCGGCACTTCCACAGGAAGCTCTTAGAATAAACGTCCATTAAGATGCACTTGGTTAAACGCACACTTTGTAGCTGTTAAACACATGCAGTAGCTTTTTTGTGTTCAGCGGAAGGAGGTTCATAATATTAATGGAAAAACAAAGGCAGGTTGTGGAATGATTTGTGTAGTTTGTTACCATATTGGTAGCAAATGTGTGTCTTTCTGTATTAATGATTTATATACGTATAGAAAAAAGACTGAAGGAATACTCACCAAAAGTAACTGGTTATGTTTGGGAGTAGAATTTTGAGGGTAAGAGAGAGACTCACATTTTTAAAAATCAACTTTATTGAAACGTAATTTTCATACACTTTGTTTATTTTCACATATTGAATGATTTATTTTTGTGTGTGGTGAAAACACATACAACAAAACCACCAATTCAATAATTTCTACATATACAATTTAGCAACGTTGATTATATCCTTCATGTTGTGCTACCTTTATTGCTGTCGTTTTGCTAATTATTCCATCACCATTAACATAAACTCAATGTTCCCTAAGCAAAACTCCCCTTCCCCTCTCCTTCCCAACCCTGTTGTCAGCTGCCGTCCAGTCAGTTCCAACTCGTAGTGACCCCATGTGCAGCAGAAACACTGCCTGGTCCTGCAGCATCTTCACAGTTGTTGTTATGCTTGAGCCCGTTGTTGGAGCCACTGTGTCAGTTCATCTTGTTGAGGGTCTTCCTCTTTTTCACTGACCCTCTACTTTGCCAAGCATGATGTCCTTCTCCAGAGACAGATCCCTCCTGTTAACATGTCCAAAGTATGTGAGACGTAGTCTCACCATCCTTGCTTCTAAGGAGCATTCTGGTTGTACTTCTTCCAAGACAGATTTGTTCGTTCGTTTGGCAGTCCATGGTATATTCAATATTCTTCACCAGCACCACAATTCAAAGGCATCAGTTCTTCTCTCATCTTCCTT